AGCTCGTAGAGTCGACCGTGCTGGGAATGTCTCCGGGTAGAGATTCGTTCTCATCGATGCGAGCCTGACACTGTCCGTGAGGGGCATCCGAGGATATATTGCCAGGGCCAGATGGCTGAGGCCCTGGGCTGATGGGTTGAGAGTCCAGAACGGAAGGACCTGGTCTGTCCTCTCGCAATGTGTCAACACCGTTAGTCTTAGGCTTCGACCGCTCCCGGTCTGCCCGACCTTCGGCTTCTGCCCTGACCTTGGGGGCAGTTAGGAAGAATTGCGCGAAGCCCGGGGCAGACGTAGGACGGGTCATCGTGATCGATGGGCTCCTGCTATCGACTCCACCGTACTTCAATCATCATCTCTCGTATTGTAGCCTTCGGGAGTGACCTGGGGTTGGTTTGAGGCGGATTGGGGGTCAGACCGCTGCTCTGACGCGCAAACTCTGAAAGAGTTCACGCGACCGGGCGGCTGGATAATCGCAGCGCCCGAGCAGGCGACATATACCGCGATGGAAGGCCAAGAGAAGGTCGAGGGCGTAAAAAAAACGCGGGATCTCACAGAGGAGGCGGATGCGATGCTTGTGGTGAGCGGGCGACGCGAAAGAGCAGGCCGGGGGAGGTAGGGAGGAAAAGCTGGAATGAGTGAAAGGCGGGTTTGAGCCTTCACCAGAACAACTTTCTTTCTTCGCCTGTCAGGGATGGATGGTCGATCGGGCAGATTCCTGGTAGGTAATTTAGGGGTACGTACCTCCCCGTACTAGCGCCTGTGACGAAGACAGCGCATCCACCCACCAACCAACCAGCTCCAATTCCTTGTGGAGGAACGCAGTTGCCCCGGCATTTTAGATTTTCCGAACGCCTGACGTCTGACTGGTCGTTTTGCCCTTTCCTCATGCAGGACGCCACTAGAGGCAGGCACGTGTCAATCTCCCTCCTTTAGTCTGCGAGGTACCAAAGTCCCGCGCTTGCAAAACAAAACGTCAGAGAGCGACGGATACTGGCCGGAGTGACGTCCGTTTTTATGCGGCCTAGGTTTGTTGTTATGTTTCCATACACAGGGGCGTTTTTACGAACAACCACATGCAGTTTCCCCATTGCGGATCGGTTGTATCATTATTCGCATTTCGTAACCTAGGTATTAACACAAACAGAAAGCCGTCTTTGTTACTGTGTCTTTGATTGAGCCCATGCCCAACTTATTATCCAGCTAACTCCATACTCCACAAAGAAAAAATAGTAATAGTACATGTGCTGAGAACTCAAATATCAAACTTCAGCTCAAACTCCTCGTCTTCGTCATCTGAAGGAAAAGGAGCGATGATAGCGGGTAGGTCATCCTCCTCATCGTCTTGGCCAAAAATGGACGTGAACTGTGGACGAACCGTTTGGGAAGGCCGGGCTCCAGTCAAACCAGCCTCCTGTGCCCGAGCCGGTGTGATTGTGGAATGGGGATCGACATCTCGAAGAACTCGTGTTTTTGTCATGGTCTGACCGCGAGCGGCGGTAGAAGCTGTCTCGCGGGCATGCACCAGCGACGAAGCTGATTTGCCTTTGCTGTACCCAATGGTGGTTCTTGATGCAACTTCTCCAGAGTTGCTTGCAGCAGACTGAGGTCGGGTAGAACGTTCAGCCTGCCGAACGGTTCTTTGTCCAGAAACCAAGCTGCTCAGTGGCCGCCTGCCAGCTGACATGGCACTTGTCGGCCTAGGAAGCTGAGGGCGCCCGCTTGGCGGCTGCATGGAAAGCGCAGAAGCTGCCTTTCTTGAAGTGATTGTGGAAAGTTGCCGTGAGTGACCTGTTCCTCTGACCTTTCGACCCATTTTTGTCTCAGCGACTTCCGGAGCATCTGGCTTTCTTTGAATAAGCTTTGGTGGTTCTGGTGTATCGGAGACGTTCCAGTCCAGAGCCTCCAAATCCCGGTTGTTTTTCTCGATCGCTTTATCCATGACGAGCTTCATCTCTTCATTAAACCGCTTTTCCTTTCTTGAGACGCCATTATCGTCAACGGGGTTGTGGAACTGCTGGTAGAAGCCCCGGAGTAGGTTTTCCTTCTTCAAACCTTCGAACGTGAGGCCACCAGGTGGTAAGAGGTCTGATTCGTAAGGCAGATCTTTGGGTTTTGGGGGGGCGTATTCAGGCTCATCCTCCAGAGGGTCGAAAGATTTGGTGTCTGCTTCAATTTGAAGCGGGCCTTGTGAGATGACCTTTGGCTTAGGCTTTTGAACTGTTGTCGGCTTCGCCTGCGACTTTTCGATATTCTTCGTCCCACCGACTTGGCCAGCTCGTGCCTTTGCATTGGTCGTTTTATTTCCTAAAGGTGCTCTTGACTGGGATTGAGGCCCTGTTCCGGAAGATGTTAGATTCTGTGCTGGAATTTCTTGGTATTCTTAAGTGCGGATTACCTGTTGGCGTGACCATTGATTGCTTGCCCTTGGTCATTGTGATCTTATCCTGACCCCCAAGCCTGGTCCCGCCTAAGCCATTTTTTCCAGCAAAGGCTGTAGGTGCATTCTCGTCGTTCTGGCCATACTTGAGTGGTGTCTTTGGATATCTGGCCCCTGGAGTTTTTGGGTGCTGCTTTCCAGAGACCTGGTGACTGTGCACCAGGTTCTCTTGGTCACGATGGGCTGCAAGCATATTTTCGATCGAAATTTGATGGCTCCTAATCGTGGACGAGGTGAGATGCCTTATTTGTTTCGTCACCGAAGCTCACTACGGAGATTAGGGAGAAAGTAAAGTGGCTGCTGAGGAGGACTTGTTTTCATTGGTCACGACTGCCTAGGGTTGGCACAGCAACGGGTGCTGGCGCACGGACTCTCTAGCCACAGAAGGAGTGACCTGGCCGCCTAAAGTGTGGCACCTACATGTGGAGGGGCATCCAGCATCTGAGCAGTCAGTCTCCCCCCCACCTCATCCCTTTTCCCTAAGCCATCACAATCAACCGATATTACGACACCCATCAGTCTTGCTCTCGAGCCTTTTTCCTTTTTAGAATCACACAAGAGCGTCGCACGCCGAAAACAAACTCTATTCAGAATGGACCGCATCAAGGAGGTTCGTGCCCATACCATTATTTGTCTCCAACGCTGTGGTGGGGTAGAGGCCAGCAAAGACGGAACTGCGGGCTGACAGCTGAGTAGAAAATGAACCAGCTCCGCCTGGAGGCTGATGAGGCCAACACCAAGGTTGAGGAGCTCCAGACCAAGGTCAAGACTCTTGAGCAGGATGCCTTGTCCAAGGAGCAAGAGATCACCTCTCTGCAGCACAAGAACAACCTTCTCGAATCGGAAGTGGAGAAGCTCGAGACCAGCATCAAGGATGCGAAGAAGGCCGCAGATGAGGGCCAACAACACGGCACCCAGAATGAAACCCTCCAGCGCCGCCTGCAGCTCCTCGAGGAAGAAGCCGAGGATGCTGACAAGACCCTCCGCGAGGCCAACGAGAAGTAAGCATGGACCCTCGTGAATTGTCGCTTGTTTACTTACCGCGCTGACTCCGCACCTAGGCTCCGACAGACCGACGTCAAGGCCGGCCACTTCGAGCGCAAGGTACAGGCTCTTGAACAGGAGCGCGACCAGTGGGAGCAAAAGTACGAGGAGATGGCCAAGAAGCACGCAGCCCTCCAGAAGGACCTCGACGACCTGCAGGGAGAGATTGGTGCCATCTAAGCGAGTTCATGTGGATTTTATTGATATTCTTTTGTCTCTGCATGGCGTGCCGTCGAACAAATCTCAGAAGCGCAGAAGCGCACGGGGCTATGTCTATCTGGGAAGAATACCCTTCCCTACTTGAGAGTGTATGGTGCCAAATGTGTACACGTTCACTTTGACGGAACGAGACTCGCATTCCCAAGGGGTATCTATTATGGATTGCAAATGGCGCTTAACTCAAGATCGTACATATAAAAAACCAACTTCCCGCTACCTCTTTGCTTTCTTGGCCCGATGTTTCCGATCCGCAAGTTGTCTGTCGAATTTAGTCTCATAGCGAAACTTGGGTTTCTTCTTCTTTGCAGGTTGTTTGGTTTCTGGTTTCGATTCGACCTTTTCCTCTGGTTCATCGTCCTTTGGAGGTTCATCCAAAACTGGCTTTTCAAGCCCATCTCTCGATACGGATACGGACTCGACTGTGACTGTGGTATATCGATCCTCGTCAATGTACTCCTCTTCGTGGTCGACTATGTCCAAGTTTGGTCGATCTGGGAACCCTCCCCATCCATCCTCTTCGTCATCCTCTGAATTGTCTTCGTTTTCCACTGCGCCGGCAGCGCCCGATTCCCGTAAAAGCTTATTCACCATGTTGACATGGTCTTCGACTTCCTTTTTCCGCTCCTCTCGTACCTGTGATTTTCGAGTTAGCTTTACTACTTGCTACCCTGCATTCCGGTAGATCGTAAGTCCAATCACCTGTTTTCTGGTTTCAATTTTCTCCAGGCGCTCTCTCTTGACCGCTTCTTCCTGTGCACGTTTGATGCGCTCCTGCTTGCGCTTGTGGAATCCGGTCAGATACTCATGACGGGCAGCATTGTCGAATGTGACTTCTTCAACAGCGGAGGTAAATTTTCTTTTTTTGCTGGGATGGGCAAGAAGAAGTTTCTTCGGTCTTGGTTTGGCAAACATGATAGTTGGATTTCAATTCCGATTTCACTTGTCCTCGTACAAAAACGCAGCAAAAGGTTGCCGTCGCAACTACCAAAGAATTTTGCTTGGTTCTCGGTGGATTAATACCAGAATCCGGACCATGTCCATCGGGTTTGGGCTTATGCATAAGAGTGGGGTCTCGCGCGTCTAGGCAGCATTACGTAAGGTTGAGGCCAGGTGCATCATCAGCTTCCTTTGGTTTGGAACGGTGCTAATCCCTAGGAGCAAATCGCCTTGCTTGCCAACGAATCTATCCGAAGAGTAATTCAGACCAGCTATCTACCTCCCTCTCTAAGATGCGTCTCCAGCTCCTTGCCAGTGCCCTGGCACTTTTCGGCTCTTCGGCCGCCTTCTCAGACTCATCGCCATGGGTGGTCCTCTCGACTTCCTCGTAAGCTTCTTCGAGACGTGGCGCGCGCAGACGGACAGCTTTACTGACGGGTTCCCATCCAGCTTCGATCAAAATAACGCCTCGAATATCCAGACGAGCGCCCAAATCGTCGAGGCCACGAAGAAGGCATTGCAATCATGCCCCACCGATCGATATCTGCTCGTCAACCAACCAGGCATTTCCGCACTCGATCTCCAGGCATCCAAGGACTGTCGCATGCCTCATCTTTGCCATGCAGTGGAGGACAAGAGCATCTCCGGCAAGTTGATGGCGTCCGAGGTCGTCGGGGATGTCAAGCATACGGGCCTCGAAGACTTCATCAAGGAGGCTTGCGCCAAGAAGACGGGTGTTTCCGTTGAAGCCATTGAGCTTTCCTCGCCTGCGAAGAACGACCGTGCCGGTTCCCTCGCCCAGAGCGGTATGATACGATCAATTGGTGATATTTGAAACTTGGTGCTGACCCATTCATAGACGCGGCTTTCGCTGCCAAACTTGAAGACCTGAAGAATGACAAGAGTTACACTGTCATCTTCTACTCTTCTGCCGTCGAGCCAGTGTATGAGGCCGACTTCGCCGACCCTGCCCATCTGGAGTTGAGGAGAAACGTCGAGAGCCCCGTCCTCCGACGTGAGAAGAAGACCTCTGGTCGGGACAACAGACCTCTATTCGAAAAGTACCAATTCTTCACACCAGGTCAGCGCTGCTCTGCCCCATTCTTCAGTGTAATGTCACTCGCTAACAACACCAATAGGCATCTTCATGGGTCTCATTGTTGTTATTTTCCTTTTTGCCATCTTGTATGTTGGCGTCAGCGCTCTTGGTAGCCTCGAAGTCTCCTACGGCGCGTTCGAGAAGGACGTTAGCCCTGCTTCTCAGAAGAAACAGCAGTAAACGTTCTTCCATCTCAGTTCAGCGTGTTCGTGCCGCAAGCCGGCCCCCATACATACTTTGTGTTGTATTTTTATGTCTGCGTCACACCTGGAGTTTGGGACTGTATTTGGAGGGAGTGCACTAGAGCTCATACGATTTCGAGTTTGCAAGGTTAGAAGAGGAACATAGGTAGCTTTTGAAGCGATTAAGCTTTCCACAATGTCGTTGCAATACAACCACGTCTTGGTTACTCACAGTCGCCATGAAAGCAGGCAGCTAAACGTCTCAAAGCCGAGGAAGCAAAAGGCAATCTTTGATTTAAATAATTCCCAGTATTGAGAGAAAACATTAAAGAACCACTACAACGCCCAGACTCCATCCCGTTCTTTTTATCCATTCACTTCTACGATCGCGGGAGGGTGTAGAATGACACTTCCCAACGACCTCAGTCAACCAAATGTCCACGCTCTACACCAAGTGGCTAGGCAGCAGGAAATTGGCAATCCCCTCCTTCACGGCATACTCGTGGCCGCAGTTCCCGCAGACCAATTTGCCTTCGGAAATTGAAGTCTCAAGAAGGAGATGGTGCAAATCCTTGAGTTTCTTGTCATCCGCCTCAAGCTCCTCGGCGGTTGGTGGCTGGTCTGGCAATGGGGGGAAGCCAAGCTGTATTTTTTTTTTCGCTGTTAGCCTGCATACTGCCCCGCGCTGGAAAAAAAAAGGCAAAAAGGCCGTTTTCATCTCTCGACAATACCACACCCCCTCCCAAATCCGTAGATTGGTAATTTCAAAAAACATTAATAAAGACTTACCTCTGATGAAGTCGTTCGCAGAGCTGTCCAGTCCAGGCGAGGCAGCACGTTGACTATCATATCCGAGTTCACCTCGAGTTCGTCCTGCACCAGCTCGGCGTCTTTGGGGTGCAGGGGGTGAGAAGCGGGCGAGCTCTTGCAAGCCTTGACGGCGCAAGTGAGGAAGTTGAGGGTGAGGACTTTCATGGCTGGCGGTTCTGACGGTGGTTCTTTGCGAGGTATGCAAGTTTGAACGTTGGGCCCTCCGACTTACAACTTTTCGTTGAGCGTGAGGTAAATGCCCCACGTGACAACGGCCATCGCAGTGGCTATCCCGAAACTTTATTGACGTTCAATTGAGTGCATGCATGCATTCACAAGCAACTAGGCTTCTGTGGCTCAATTTTTTATTCTTATTCGTGCTAAGCACTTTAGGATTCCTCACGGGATTCCTTATGGCGCTATGTACCTGATACAGTTTGTTCGTCGAAATATACAATCCCCCAACTCCAATTCTACTTCTGCTTAAGCAATCAAGCCTCTTGACTTCTCATCGGCAACCTTGGTCTGGCGCTTCTGGTGCTGGATGAAGAACATGACAGCAGCGAAGACAATACCCAGGAAGAGGATTGTCTGGGTGCCGGTGTATCCGCTCTTTGGCGCCTCTAGCACGATAGGTGGCTTGACTACTTCCGTTTCTTCGTCTTGGAATTCTTTGTAAGTGTACCAAGATACTCATCAGCCCACCGCCCAAACTTGAGTGTATATGAAACGCACTGTGAAGGAGATATGGAGAAGAGATGAATGTATTTAGAGCTCGACGTGAATACCTTCAGGAGGAACTTCCAGCTCGCCGCTCTTGGCGATCTTGACAGGCTTGGCAGGCTTATCACCTCGAGAGGTCTCGACCTTCTGGATCTTGTCAACAATGTCATAGCCCTCGAGGACCTCGCCGAAGACGACGTGTCGTCCGTCGAGCCACCTGTGACCAAATGTTAGCATGAGCACTTGGGGGGGGGGGATGGAGGGGTGCGTCTTACGAGGTGATGACAGTGGTGATGAAGAACTGGGAGCCATTGGTGTCCTTGCCGGCGTTGGCCATGGAGAGCATACCAGGCTTGGTGTGCTTGAGCTTGAAGTTCTCGTCCTTGAACTTGTTGCCGTAGACTAGGAACCAATTCTCGTTAGCCAATGATCTGCCTGTCACAGATGTAGATCTACCCACTGGATTTGCCGCCAGTGCCATCGTGGTTGGTGAAGTCACCGCCCTGGATCATGAAGTCCTTGATGACTCGGTGGAAGGTAGATCCTTCATAACCAAAGCCCTTCTCGCCAGTGGCAAGAGCTCGGAAGTTCTCAGCGGTCTCAGGGACAGTGCCGCCGTAGAGGCCCATGACAACGCGGCCGAGCTTCTCATCGCCGTGCTCAATGTCGAAGTACACCTTCTTGGTGATCTTGGGACCCTTGGCAGCCTCAACGTTGTGAGAGAAGAGAACCAAGACCACTCCGAAAAGGAGGGCAACGGAAATGAAGAGTCTGCTGAAATTGATCATCTTGCAAAAGGTGCGATGGGGTCCGATCGTTGCGACAAAGCGACCTCGATGGACTGGTATGAAGGGGAAAGGGAGGAGAGTTGCAGAGGCGCTGTAGGGGACAACTAGACTTAAACGCCAGGAGCTGGAAGCACGGGGGTTACGACATCTGGAACCCCACCGGTACACCCCGCTGAAACACCCCTGGAGCAAGCAGCAGTGGACCCACCCACCACTGCACAGGCGCTTATTAAAGCAGCCAAAAGTTTATCCGCTCTTCTCCCGAAATCTTCAGATTTCGAGAGATGCGATGCGAAGGTTGGCATTGCAAATCTGAAGGGCACCAGCACAGTCGTTCAGCTTCACGTCGTCATAATGGTAGGCACTCATTCCATGGGCGGTGGCCTGTTCCTTATATGACATTGTATGTCGTCTAACATGCAACAGGTGTTTATCTTGGGTGTCAACTTCAGCGAGCAGAAGCTCGTCTCGGTAAGGATTTAATATTGGCATACACCATACGCTCGAGCAATTCTAACCGCATATCTCGAATAGAAGGCGCTTCAATCTTTTTATGCTCTCGGTCCCAGAGCCTGCGAGCGAATCATGGCCAAATACACGATCTACAGGCTTGCTAAAGTCGGCTCTTTGGCGCCAAAAACAGTCACATCTCTTACCGCAGAGCTCTCTCAGATGACACTCGACAGCGATGCAAGGAAAATCATGCAGGACAACATCAGGAGATTAAAGGATATTGGTTCATTACGGGGTAGACGACACGCCATGGGAATGCCAGTCCGTGGTCAACGCACAAGAACACAAACTTCGACAGCAAAGAAGCTCAACAGGCTCGACCGGAGAAACTAAACCAGGCATTGTTCACCATTGATAGATGCGCATTGGATATCCCGAGACTGAACTCAGCAAGTGGAATTCCCCCGAATCTGGCATTGGGCATTAACGAATAGGAGTACCATATTGTGTACTCTCGACCTTGATAAGGATATGTATAATTGACTGTACATCATGTAGGATACATGAGATAGACCAAAAGAAACAAACGACATGCGCCATCTAGCTATCCCATACCAAAATATTGTCCTCCCTGTCTAATAATGCACGTAGCCATCCGGATCTTCTAGAGCAGGCTCCCCAGCCGCTTGCATTTCGGCAGCGACCTTCTCGACATCCCTCCAAACTCGCAGAATGTTACCACCCACAATTTTACCGGCGTCGGTCTCGCTGACGCCACGTCTAAGTAACTCGGCAACCACGTCCGGGTATTTGGTAACGTCCTCGAAACCTCTAGGGCGGCTTGGGATACCATCCAAATCGGTTCCGATGCCCACATGGTCGTATCCAATGAGGTCGCCAATATACATGATGTGTTCCACGACCCGTCCTAAGTCACTCTCTTCAGGGACTGTAATTGGAAGCCCATTCTCAGCCCCGACGTCCCTGCAAGCGATGAAGTCGGGAGCAATGTTGACGAGAACAACCGAGTTGCGAGCCTTGACAAGCTCCAATACATGGTCTGGAACATTGCGTGGGTGGGGGCATATTGCAAAGGCTGAACTATGAGAATACATTACTGGTGCCTTGGATCCGGCCCAGCCTTCGCCGCCTCCTAGTACGTCCACCATTGTTTGTTCGCTTCGCCACCAGGAGTCAGTGAGGATGATTGGAATGCCATGGAAAATTCCGAGAAGCTCACCTAGTATGAGAAAGGTCTACGATCAAACCCACACGGTTCATCTCGTTGATTAACTTTCGGCCGTCGAGACTAACACCATTGTGGAGAGGGGTTGCTTTCCTCATGGGATTTTCTTCAAGGGCAGCGTCGGCAAACTTGTTATGACAGTTGTGGCTCAAGGTAATATACCGTGCACCCATGGCGTGAAACCGTCGTAGATTTGAAACTTTGTTGCCAATCTGGTGGAGGCCTTCAACGCCAATGGGCGAAATTAGCTTGCCTTGACGAAATGCGGATATGGCAGTATCGACGGTGATGCCTTGAGAGGGAGAAAAGTCATTGGGAAACAGGTCGTGTATTCTATTAGTGAGATCAATTTGGTCATATGTGAATTGAACCGCTGCATCTCTGGAATCAGCCATACTTCATCAACTGGGAATGTCAGGTCACAGGCCATTTACCTTTCCACTCATTCTCATCTGAGAGATCAGTGCCATTTTGAGGACAGGGGCTGTATACACTCCAGAAAGCGCCGCCAGACAAGCCCTCTCTCAATCGCTTGATATCAAGATCCCCAGGGAAGGGCCCGTTGGCAAACTTATGCTTCCAATCATCGTTATCGATCTGGTTTTTATACATGACACGAATGAGCACAGCAAGGTCGACATGGCCATCTACAGCAAACACATATTTGCCAGGTCAGAAACAATTGCCCATAACGAGAAGACCAGCCCGGCAGACAAGGAACACATGCTCACCAATCAACGGCGTTTTCGACAGAACGGCACGAGCTCTTTCATTCGCAGAACGCGATTTATGGGCATGATGTGAAACGCGATGGTAGCAATGAGAGATTGGCCGATGAAGCAAGGCAAAAGACGCGATCATTAAAAGAGCGCTGATAATCAGGGTCTTGGGCTTAATTCTGAGAGGCCTTCGCTCCTCTTTGGCTGCCTCACCAGCTTCAAGGCATTGGCCCTTTTTAGTTGATAACATGTTTGGCACTTTTCATGTATATTGATAAGCCAAATGACTCCGGGTGGGATCAGGAACCAACAGGACGTTGACTGCGGGGCTATGAAGGGGTGCTGAAGCGTACGTAAGTATATGTGGGACAGATGGTAACTGACAGCGGTTATAATGTCAAGCAGGGATAGGAGATGTCGTAGGACGGTGATGTGTACCATGTAAAGAAGCGGACAGGGACTGCGATGGTGTTTCCATATCTCAACTTTCCGATACAGGCCACAATCTTTATAGACAATGATTGAAAAGTCCAATAAAATATTGAGAGTTATTTATTATCGCACAATTGGAAGCACATGATATGACTGGTACAATTATTCTGTCGAGGTGACTGCGGTCCCTGTTTTTCTGACAGCCACTTGGTGACATTGATATTATGGTGGTGGGACGGGTTGGTCCTTGTACCGACAAATGGACCTTAAATCACGGGTATTTCTATCCAATTTCTCTCTCGCATCCGAGTGGCTGGCTTCCCTCCAGGCGGGATCCGCGAACACCGTGGATTCTTGGTCGAAGGTCGGACTCACTCTTGCACACGGAGCTGCTAGACTCATAGAGATAGCTGTCATCTTACATGCTTATTGCGGAGACATACGACCAAGGAGGGCAAGTCGCTTGCGACCTATCGCAGTGAGACAAGACAGGCTTGCTTGCTCAATGCTTGTTGTTGGACCTCGTACCTCGCGTGACGAGATGATGATTCAGCACACAGACGGCTCTCCAAGTCAATCGGCAGCTTTCTGACACACACCAAAGCATCAGGTGTCTTGCATTGGTGCCTGACCCAGGAATTAAGTCCAGTGACGAGAATCTAGCCAGCATCAAATCTGTCCAGTCCTTGGCTCCGATCCTGTACCCGTGCTACCCATGCCTTGGGGCTTGGATACTATTTACCCGCTAATGCCCCTAGTATGGTGTGTGGCAGTGTGCCTCCAGCATGGCTGCCGCTGAGCTCA